TGGCTTGGAAGACCCAGAGGAAGCTTCTGGCTCCTGGCTTCATTGCAGCCATTTAGGAAGTGAACCAGCAGCTGGAAAATCTCCCTGTGTCTCTTCTTCTATCAACCTGCTTTTCAAATGAAAATACATACATTTTTTTTTATTTTTAAAGGATTTATGTGGAGTTCTTCCCTCTTCAGCCCGCTGAAAGGACACTCCACACTCAGTAACACAGCCAGTGTACTTCTCCCTCTCCCTCCGGGAAGGAAAAGCACAGGCATATATACACAGCATAAACCAATCCGCATAAAGGTCATTCCAACATGCACAGCGCACACCAATCCTCAAACAGGTCATGCGCTGATAACGTGCACAGCACGCCTTTTACAGCCAATGGGAAGAGACTTCCTCAAACCGGTATACAACTGGTAGTGCTTTGGCAAGGCACCGGGTGCCATCTTGGAGCTAAGTGGAAGTAAGCTCCCGACAGATTTATCCTATTTATTATTATATATATTTTTTTATTGGAAAGGCTGATATACAGAGAGAAAGATTTTCCTTCTGCTGGTTCATTCCCCAAGTTGCCATAATGGCTGGAGCTGGTGCCAATCTGAAGCCAGGAGCTAGAAGCTTCCTCTGGATCTTCCAAGGGTTGCAGGATTCCAAGGCCTTGGGCCATCCTCTACTGCTTTCCCAGGCCAGAAGCGGGAGCTGGAAGGGAAGTGGGGAAGCCAGGACATGAACTGGCGCCCGTATGGAATGCTGGTGCTTGGTGTTACTTTTTTCTTTTTAAAGATTTATTCATTTTTATTGGAACAGCAGATAAACAGAGAGGAGGAAAGACAGAAAGGAAGATCTTCCGTCTGATGATTCACTCCCCAAGTCACCGAAACAGCCAGTGCTGCGCCCATCTGGAGCCAGGAGCCAGGAACTTCTTCCGGGTATCCCACATGGGTGCAAAGTCCAAGGCTATGGACCATCCTGGACTGTTTTCCCAGGCCACAGGCCACAGGTAGGGAGCTGGATGGGAAGTGGATTAGAACTGGCATTCATATGGGATCCTGGCGCGTTCAAGGCGAGGACTTTAGCCGCTAGGCTACTGCACCAGGCTCTGGTGTTAGGTTTTAAACAGCCTTAAAGTTCTTACAGCTCCTTCATTGTACACACAGCTAATTCCTGCAGCCAAGTCTTCTTTTCATGATAAATTTTCCGCAAGACAAAATCCCAGAAGCAGCGAGGTGCTTAGTAGTAGGTCTTTTATTCCAGCAGGGTAGGAATGGGAGAGGGAGTGGAGAAGAACACTAGACAGGACCGTCTCCTGCCATGGTGGCAGGATGCGGGCACCAGGACAGGGAGAAGGAGCAGGATGGAAGGGATGAGGGAAAGGCTGCAGAAGGGGAAGGAGGAACACGTGGAAGGTGGGAAGGACGGAAAAGGAAAAGGAGGGAATAAACCTGGAGCCTCATTTACACAACCCTGGAGAGCCAGCCACGCGTGGGAGGAGCGTGGGGAATTGGTTGGGAGGAGCTGTGGACCCGCCGCTAGGGACTGGTGGCTGAGATGATCTATCCATAGGTATGTGGGTGGGTGCTAGGGGGAGGGGCTGCCCGAGACTGGGGAGTGGGATTCTCGCGTAAACCATGAGGTTACACCTCATTGGTAGATAACTGGAATGGCGTCAATTTTGCAAGCTGTGGGAAAGGGGAAGCAGGAAGCTGCGTCAGGTCCAAGATGGGATGTTCGAATCACTCCTTATTACCCTTGGAAGTGGAGGATTAGCTTCTGAGCCAAAACACAGACCCCTGAAGGATAAAATCTTTCCACTGATCTGTATGTACTTACCTGCATAATTTAATAACATACCTCTTCATTGTCAGTAATCTATTTGACTTTGAAACAATCACAAATCCAGAGAAGTTGCAAGCCCAGGATAGGGAACTTCGTTTATTTTAAACCATTTTAGAGCCTGTTGGCAATAGCCCTGAACTATTTCCATGTGTGCCTCCCGCACGCAAGGGCGTTCTGCTACAGAACCATGAGACCATCTTGAGACCAAGGGATGATCATCCAACATTTTGCCATCTAACCTCAAACCGCGTTTTGCCACCCAGTTCTCCCGTGAGAGTTCCTGCGGTGAACAGATTTGGTCTGCCATCTCAGGTGGCATTATTTGTGGTGGATCTGAAGCCTCTGTCTTGGAGAGTCCCCTGGTTTTCCCTCGCCTTTCAAGACCTCAGCTGTTGTGAAGAGTCGTGGTCACCCTGTCCTAGGCTCTCAGTCTATCCTTATGTGAGACCCTCCTGGCATAAGAGTGCAGTCTAGCTTTCTTAGCAAGAGTGGCACAGAACGCTACTGTGTCCTTCTAGATATTTCCCTGCCCCAGAGGGGTCAGCCAGGCTTTTCCATCACAGTGGCACTTTCCCCTTTGAAGAAGCCACTCTAACTCTTGGCTGTTGTCACCCTGACAGCATGGGATGCCAGTGTTATTTAGTAGTGGCTTAATGTGCTACCTCACAATCCTGATCCCACTCTTCCTTCCAAACTGTATGTTTTAAGCCCCATAAAACCAATATCCACTTTTGAACACTCCTGCCATTATTTTTTTTTAAGATTTATTTTTATTACTTTTTTATTGGAAAGGCAGTTATAGAGAGAGGAGAGACAGAGAGGAAGATCTTCCGTCTGATGATTCACTCCCCAAGTGAGCGCAACGGCCGATACTATGCCAATCCAAAGCCAGGAGACTCTTCCGGGTCTCCCACGCAGGTGCAGGGTCCCAAAGCTCTGGGCCGTTCTCAACCGCTTTCCCGGGCCACAGGTAGGGAGCTGGAAGGGAAGCGGGGCTGCCAGGATAGAACTGGCGCCCATATGGGATCCCGGGCATGCAAGGCGAGGACCTAAACCACTGCGCCACCGCGCCGGGCCCGCTGCCATTATTTTAAAGATGAGAAAATCAAAGCACACATGGAGGAAAGTGGGCTGGCCATGATCACCCAGCCGGGTGGAATTTGGACCCAAGCAGCCCAACTCCAGAATCAGCTTTGGAGAGGATGCTGTGAGGACCCAATGAGACAAAGGGACATGAGAGGAACTCTGTGACTGCAAACATTAAGATGACCCAGGATCCTGTGAGCGAGACTGGGTGCTTGGCTACTGGTGCTCAGTTAGTTAGGGATGGGAAAGTGGAACACCCAGCACCTCACCTAGTCCTCACAGCAGCCCCACAGGAAGTACTCATTGTCCCCCAGTGAGTCTTCTGATGCCCACAAAACTTTGGGGATCCCCCCAAATCACACAACTAAGCAACTGGGGTCAGGGGCAAAAGCCAGCAGTGCTGATGCCAGAACCTTCTTCCCTCCCCTCCCCTGCATCTGGGGTACCAGGCTGCCCAAAAGTGTGGCAGCAAATGGCCTTCCAGGGCTGGCTGGCCAAGATCTACTGGGACCCCCCCCCCCCCCCGTAGCCCTACTTGCCACTGCCTGAATGGGTGCCAAGACAGAGTCTGTATGACGGCAGTGTTTCAGCTCTGTCCAGGTCTCAGACAGGCACCATCTGCAGAGCAGGTGGCAGCAAGGTGGGGCCCAGGCTGCCATCCACTCTGAGAAGCTCAGGCTGTGGTTGCACATTTGGGTCAGGGTGTCCTGGGGAACACACTTCAGAGTCAGTAGGATGGCCTTGGAGAAGTCACAGGTCCTCTTTAAGTCTCACAGTCATAATCTAACCACAGTAAGAGCTATCAGTTTTGAGTAGAAAGGGTCTGACCTGTGGCAGGTGCACAGGAAATGGGAGCTATAGGACCCGGCACAGTGGCCTAGCAGCCAAAGTTCTCGCCTTAAACACGCCCCCAGGATCCCATAGGGGTGCCGGTTCTAATCCTGGAAGCCCTGCTTCCCATCCAGCTCCCTGCTCATGGCCTGGGAAAGCAGTCAAGGACAGCCCAAAGCCTTGGGTTCCTGCACCTGCATGGGAGACCTGGAAGAAGTTCCTGGATCCTGGTTTCAGATTGGCACAACACTGGCCGTTGTGCTCACTTGGGGAGTGAATCATCAGACAGAAGATCTTCCTCTCTGTCTCTCCTCCTCTCTGCATATCTGACTTTGTGATAAAAATAAAACAAATCTTTAAAAAAATATATTCATCTCTGTCTCTACTCCTCTCTGTATATCTGACTTTTCAATTTAAAAAAAAAATCTTAAAAAAAAAATCGAAATGGGAGCTGTGGTTCACTGTCACCTGGAAGGGCCTTTCTGTAGCCATGGCCTTTTAGGAACTGTAGGTGTCCAGGATGTGAACAGCAGAATCTGCAGGACTGTATTCCTGTAGCCCATTGTCCTCCCCTTCCCACTCCAGAACTGGAGTCAAAGGAGGGGGACCTGCTGGACAGCAGAGCAGGCAAAATCCTCCTAATGTCCCCAGAGTCCTGGCTCCCTTCCCTGCAGCCTGTTTCTTACTAGCAACAGGAGCAGAGCCCCAAGGTTAGACAAACAAGCTGGTGATAAGACACTTCCATGCTGGCCTTGCACTCCAGGTTTGTCCAGCCTGGGGCGGGGGGTAGCTTCCTGCCTCACTGGGAGAACTGGCCTGGTGCACACCCAAGAGGATCACTAGCTTCAGCCACATGCTGATTCTGCACCGGAGGCCTTGAGGCCCTGGTACAGCCTGGGTTAATGACCCTGTTTATCTGCTTGAATTATCTGATAAGAGCAACCCAGCAGCAAGCAGGTGGCCCTGTGCCCTGCACCGGCTACTTCATTGACTAAAGTGATCTCAGCGCCACGTGGAGCTCTGAATGACCCTGCCCTCACCACTTCCCCACCAGTCCTGCCAGGGTCAGAGAGAGAGAGAGAGTGTGTGTGTGTGTGTGTGTGTGTGTATGTGTGTTTCTTTCAATGAACATGACTTCTGGAGTCAAGGTTGCCGGGCCATTCCTCCCTCCTGCCCCCTGGGGATATAAATAGCACCCACTGCGCAGCAGCACAGAGGACGGAAGGCTGCGAGGAAGCAGGAGCCACTGTACTACCATGAGCTCCAGCCAACCAGGGGCATGCCCGTGCCAGACTGCTGCAGGGCGTCCGGCCATCCTGTATGCATTGCTGAGCCCCGGCTTCAGGGCCAGACCCTCTGTCCCTCCATCCCGCAGCCACTGCCTGTGCAGGGAACATCGGCCTGTCCGGCTCCGCACCCCTCATCGCACCTGCCAGCAGGCCCTGGACATTCTGGCTAAGATGGTGGCCTTCCTTCGGAATCTGCCATCCTTCTGCCAACTGCCCCCTGAGGATCAGCGACGGCTGCTGCGGAGTTCCTGGGGCCCTCTCTTCCTGCTGGGTTTGGCCCAAGACACAGTGACCTTTGAGGTGATTGAAGCCCCAGTGCCCAGCATACTCAAGAAGATCCTGCTGGAGGAGCCCACCTGCGGGACAGGCAGAGGGCAGCTCCCGGACCGGCCCCAGCCTTCACTGGCTGCGGTGCAGTGGCTACAGTGCTGTCTGGAGTCCTTCTGCAACCTGGAGCTGGGCCCCAAGGAATACGCCTATCTGAAGGGGACCATCCTCTTCAACCCTGGTGAGTGTCCAAATACTTCTGAATGGGGGCAGGGCGAGGCCCACCCGTTAGGCTACTCAGTCCTGGAATATTGTCTCACAGAAGGGGCACAGAGAGGTTAAGTGGCTAATAGAAAGTCACACAGCCAGGTAGGAGCTGAGCAGCCATAGGACCTCAGGTCTTTCCCTAACCCATAGGGCAGACACAGTTGTGTCTCAAGGGCACTTAGCAGTGTGGAGAAGCTCTGAAGGCTCAACTCCTGGTTGGGGTCAGAAAGTTCTAGGAGCCAGCACTCGGTGACAGATGGCGACATCTTCCTCTGTATTGTGGGAGCAGCTGGGAAGAGCTGTGCACACATGGAGGTCCCGTGCGTGTAGAAAGCGTAGCAACTGATTGAGGCAAAAGCAGCAGCTGCTCGGAACGTGGTTACCATATGGCAGGCTCTGTCCCGAGACCTTGCCACCACGCACTAGATCGCGGAAGCCACACACCAGGTCTCGGAGACGGGGGCTGTTGTAGCCATCCTCGACTGACGGAGGAAGAGGCCAGGGCACGGGGATGCAGGAGCTCACCCAGGGTCTCAGCGCCTCCAACCCAGGCAGCGTAGGCCTTGACCGTCCCTCTCTACTGCTGCTCTGTAGCTGGCTAGGTGAATAAGGATCAAGAAACAAACGGAGATCCTTAGATTAGAGGCTGGAAATCTCTGATAGGCAGGAAGGAAATGGGACAGGTAGGTAGCTAGTTTAGGGGGTACCAGCTGGAAGCCACAGGCCCCCTCTCCTGCTTTTTGTTAATCCCACCTGCCTATCCATCGAGCAAATGACCTTTTCCCCAGAGGGTACTTCCCCTCACCCTCCCTGGGGATCTGGGGCAGGTGTCATGAAGCCACTCCCCTTCCCAAGATCACAGACTGGCAATGTGGGAAGGCCATCTCTCCATGGACGCAAGCTAGAAGGCAGAAGCTTTTCCTTCGCCCCCATCCTTCCCCTTCCATGTTGCTCCACCCCCAGACACGTCCCACATGGATCTGTGATCTTCTCACCTTATAATTAAATGGAGGAGGTGGTAGGGGGACCTCCAAGGCCGCGCCAAGGGGCTGGGGGTGGTCTGCTGGTGGCTGGTGGGAAATGAGTGTCCAGCAGACCTCCCCTCTCTGCCCGTAGGCGTGCCAGGCCTCCAAACCTCCTCCCACATTGGGCGCTTGCAGCAGGAGGCCCACTGGGCGCTATGTGAAGTCCTGGAACCCTGGAGCGCGCCAGGCCAAGGCCGCCTGGCCCAAGTCCTCCTCACAGCCTCCACCCTCAAGTCCATCCCGCCCGGGCTGCTCGGGGACCTCTTCTTCCGCCCCATCATTGGAGACACTGACATCGCTGGGCTCCTGGAGGACATGCTTTTGCTGAGGTGACGTGTCCTGGGACTGGCCAGAGATCAGCTATGGACTGGGCTGAAGCTGGCCGTGCTGAGCCAGCCTGGCTGTAGGCCCAGGGGGTAGTCCACAGCTCCTGGAGGGGGCAGTGTGCCCCCCACAGCTCCTCATTGCCGCTCGGCCACAGCCTGACTGCGCCTTGCTTTAGTGTGGACATGGTGTTCCAGCTGCCTAGTGAGTCCTGGGTGTTCTCTGGAGCCTCACAGCTAAAACTGCCATCCCCTCCAGGGCTGGCAGAGGACCCCTAGGCTGCTCGCTAGGCCGGAAGAGTCCCGCCAGCCTTGCACAGAACAGAATTAAATTATTATGTTTTCTTTGTTGTTGTTGTTGTTTTTGTAATAAAAGCTTTGATGCACTTGGAGTCTGGCACTGCATTTTGGGCATACAACAGGGACTGTCTCACCTCCAGGGCCCATTTGTCAGAGGAAGGACGCCCACGGAGATGGGGCCTATAGGAACTGGAGTGTTCACTGTTCAGGGCCGGATGGTGATTTCCTTTCTGGGGATGGGATTCATTTTGCATCTGGTATGTTACCAGCACACAGTGGCCCCTCCCGGCCTCTATCCTTGGAGTGGAAGGTGCCTCTTTCTGTCCCACACCTTCCACTACCCCACTGGCTTCTGAGCCCTACAACACCCTCTCACCCCAGGAAATGTTGGGTCAATAGCCCTTGGGGAGCAATCTGCTCCCAAATTGAGACAGGCAAGGTCAATGCGCTTTGCACAGCATGGATCATTCACTTGGCCCATTGCTGCTCCTGGCAGAAGCGGCGGGGGGGGGGGGGGGGGGGGTGCGGGTGCTGTTATTTCCCAACAGGAAACAGTGAGGGCACCCAGAGTTGGCCAGGTATCTGCTTGGAAGCCAGGACCAGCTAAGGTTTCATCGGCTGCTGTGGCCTGCAGCGTGTGCTGCTGCCCTCCCCCACCCCCAGACCCAAAGTTCCTGCCCACTGCTCTTCTCCCATTATCAGGCAGCCCAACAGCCATGGCCTCTGTACCATTCCTTCTGAGCTGGGCTGGGGTCTGTTCTGATTGGCCAGCGTCCATTCGTTAAATATTTCAAGCCCACTCTCCCAAGGTCGGGGTGATTGACCTGCAGGATGGACAGCAGGGAGCCATGGCAACGCTCTCACCACTGGGACTTGCAGGCCTCTCTTCCCCAGCAACGAGGCCACCCTGCCAGGCCCCACCACCGTTTGGATTGTTCTCACGGGGAGCCAAGTTAATGATTGCTCAGTGAAAAGGTCATTCACTCCAGGCCAATAATCTAGGAGTCACCATTCAGGACTTTCCCTGAGCTCACCCCCCACCCCCACCCATCTAGAACCACAGGTGGAGTTGCCATTACAGGTGCCCAGTGCTAGCAGCCAAGCAGCAAGGGAACCTGTCCCTTACCCCACCTCCACTCACAGGACAGGCCCCAGAAAGACACAGAAACACAGAGCTCCAACCACACAGCAAACACTTACACAGCCCACACATGTACACACACACATACACTCACACACACACACACACGCACACACACACACACACACACACTTGCCTTGGAGACGAAGACAAGCAACTTAGAAGCACTTAAGTGGTTGATGACTCTGAGCCTCCATCTGTCCCCTGCACACACGCACACTCAGCAGATCTAAACACATCCACAGAAGAGACATGGGTCCCCAGCCACCTCGCCACCCCTGCAGCTGCGGCTCTGTGCACCCTGGAGAGCCACCCTGACAATGGCACATGTGGCACAGTGGAACCCAGAATTAACAGATCTGCAGGACGTACCCAGAGTCTGCAATGCATACCCAATAACTCCTCCTGGCAATTAGAGGCTACATCTAAACAATCACCCCATCTTCACACTACTGCCCAGCTTGGACCTAACCAGATCCCCACAAAGAAGAAGCCCTGCATCACTCAGGACCCTGGCTGCCCAACAGACAAGTCCAGATCCTGACTCAGGAATCTCGGGCCTATGCCCCTGCCCTGGCACATACACGAAGCCACTCAATCAAGAGCAGAAGCCCCAGGGCACAGATGCTTCCGATTTCGTGTCTCTGATGCCTTTTCCTGATGGTTTCTGCTCACTCGCTAGGGTACCTCAGAAAGCTCTGGCAGGCCCTTCCTGCCTCTCACTGCTCATGCCCTCCAGTACTGTTGCCTCCCGCCCGCCCTGACCAGTCATTAGGAAGCTCTTCTCTCCTTATTTCCCATCACTCCCAGCTTCCACTCCCTGCTCCAACATTTTGTTTTCAATTCCTTCCCCATAATTATACTTTATTTTTATTTCTTAAGATTTATTTATTTGTATCGGAAAGGCAGATATACAGAGAAAAGGAGAGACAGAGAGGAATATCTTCCGTCCCATGATTCACTCCCCAAATGGTTGCAACAGCCAGAACTGTGCCAATTCGAAGCCAGAAGCCAGGAGCTTCTTCCTGGTGTCGCACATGTGGGTACAGGGTACCAAGGCTTTGGGCTGTCCTCGACTGTTTTCCCAGGTCACAAGCAGGGAGCTAGATGGGAATTAGAACCGCCGAGATTAGAACTGGTACCCATATGGGATCCCAGGATGTTCAAGGTGAGGATTTTAGCCACTAGGTCACCACACCAGGCCCTCCTGTCATCTTTTTTTCTTTTTTTAAAGATTTATTTTATTTTTATTGAAAAATCAGATAACAGAGAGGAGAAGAGACAGAGAAGAAGATCTTCTGTCCAATGATTCACTCCCCAAGAGACTGCAAAGGCCCGGAGCTGAGCCAATCTGAAGCCAGGAGCCAGGAGCTTCTTCTGGGTCTCCCACATGGGTGCAGGGTCCCAAGGCTTTGGGCCATCCTCAACTGCTTTCCCAGGTCACAGGGGATCTGAATCGGAAGCGGGACCACCAGGATTAGAACAGTTGCCCATATGGGATCCAGGACTTTAGCAGGGCCAGGACTTTAGCCACTAGGCTATTGTGCCAGGCCCCCTCCCATCATCTTAATAGCTTCCCAAATTACCTCTCCTTTTCCAATCTCTTCCCTGCCTCTCTTCCTGGCCAGGGAGCTATACTTCTCTTTCTGGTGTGCTTCTCTTGAGTCACTCTTTCCCTGTGCCCTGCCTCCAACTCTATAAAGACAAATAATGCCAAGCCTCAAGAATGAGCTATGCAGGATCAGTGTAAGAATGCGGCGCAGTGGTTAAGGTCCTCACCTTGCACGCCCGGATCCCATGTGGGTGCCGGTTCTAATCCCGGCAGCCCCATTTCCCATCCAGCTCCCTGCCTGTGGCCTGGGAAAGCAGTCGAGCACGGTCCGAAACCTTGGGGCCCTACACCCCCTGCACCCGCGTGGGAGACCCGGAAGAAGCTCCTGGATCCTGGCTTCGGATCGGCATAGCATCGGCCATTGCGCTCACTTGGGGAGTGAATCATCGAATGGAAGATCTTCCTTCCTTTCTCTCCTCCTCTCTGTATATCTGATTTTCTAATAAATAAATAAATATTAAAAAAAAAAAAAAGAATGCTTTCTCAGAGACAGCAGGTTTCTTGGACATCCAGTGTCAGAACTTGTGTCTAATTTCCTAGGAGGGAGGAAGAGAACAAAGGACCAGACAGGGTCGAACTGATTCAAGGTCTGACCTGAATGAGTCTGGAGACCAGGTTGTTGCTGTTAGTGCAGACCGGGGTGACTCATGGCCGGCATCAGTCTGTCTGGGGCCAGCCGCACTGTTTGCAGAGCAGCTCCTGCTCAGCCATGACTACTGTCCACAGGCCCAGAGATGACTCATTGGAGGGCAAGGCCATGGCCGAGGCGCTGGGGGCTGCCTGGGGAACTTTTTATGGCCATCATTATCCCTATCTCCATTAGCCAAATCACTGCCTGCTTATTAATCAGTCCAGCGGCTAATGCGTGCTGTGTTTTGCTCTGACCTGCCCTGTCCTTGACGCACACACATACCTGAGAAACTGACGCATAAGAGGCATCACTGGACCCTGCACAATGGCTCAATGGCCACCCAGCCCGAGCCCTACCGCCTGGGAGCTCAGAGCCAGGGCTAAGCCGACCTGCACCGGCTCCCTCTGAGCACCTGGCAGGCCAATCAACTCAGGCCTTCAGACTCAAGCCCCGTTCCTGGGACAAACTGACCCACCTGGCTCCTGGCACATGGCCAGACACTGGGCCTGAATCTCTAAACCCAGGCCCTATCCTGGGACAAACCGACCCACCCGATCCGAGCCCTGCTGCCTGGGAGCTCAGAACAGGGCTAGCCGGCCCCTGAGACTAACTTTCCATCTTCTCCTTTAGTTCCCAAATGGCTATAACAACCAGGAGTCAAGGACTTCATCCCAGTCTCCAACATGGAGAGGCAAGGATCTAATCATTTGAACCACTTTCTGTTGGCTTCCCAAGACCACTAGAAAGATGTCGGAAAAGAAATAGAGCAGCTGGTACTCAAACCAGCACTTTGAGATGGGCTGTGGCTGTCAGAAGCACAAGCTTAACATGCTGTCTCACAAGGCCCCGCCCCTGCTCCCATTTATCAAGAACTGTGTACTGAACGTACCACATGGGTTATGCTATTGACTCGCTTTTTTTTTTAACAATAGCAACAAAAACGTGTGTTTATTTTTATTATTGGAAAGGCAGATTTACAGAGAAAAGCAGAGACAGAAAGATCTTTCAACCACTGGTTCACTCCCCAAATGGCTGCAATGCCTGTAGCTGAGCCAGTCTGAAACCAGGAGCCAAAAGCTTGTTACAGGTCTCCCACTTGGGTATAGGCTCCCAAGGCTTTGGTCCATCTTCTACTGCTTTCCCAGGCCACAAGCAGGGAGCTGGATGGGAAGTAGAGCAGCCAGGATTCAAATGGGCACCCGTATGGCATCCTGGTGCTTTCAGGCGGAGGATTAGCCACTGAGCAATCAATACAAACATACATCACTCAGATTTAATACATAGAGTCTTAAGTTAAAGCAAGTTTTAAGTTACCTAAATTAAAATTATTTAATTGTAATTGTATGCATCCATATTGCTGTTGAAGTCTGAGTTAAGTATTTAATAACAGACTTTGAAAGCAGAAAATATATTACACTAGTCTGTGAAAGGAAGCAACTATAGCTGTACATCGGAGGGAAAAAGGCAATCCAGCAGCATGGATGTGTTGTAATGAGGTATCTAGCTTTGATCTACATGAGCTACATGAGCCCGAATGCCCTGTAAACCCCATTTGTAATTGTGTCCTCCTACTTGTCCATCAAAATGCCCTCTTTCTATTGTATAGTAAGAAGTGTTAAGTGGGGTGGCTTTTGGCATTCTAGCATTTGTGATTCTAGCACCTTCAAGTGATTTCCTACATACTGCATCATATTATAACTGTTAGGAAGAAACGATTGTTGCTTAAGGGCCCAGTGTGATAGCATAGTGGCTAAAGTCCTGGTCTTGAATGCTCCAGGATCCCATATGGGCACCAGTTCTAATACCAGCAGCTCCCTGCTTCCCATCCAGCTCCTTGCCTGTGGCCTGTGGCCTGGGAAAGCAGTCGAGGATGGCCCAAGGCTTTGGGACTCTGCAACCACATGTGGGAGACTTGGAAAAAGCTCCTGGCTCCTGGCTCTGGATTGGCTCAGTTCGGGCCATTGTGGCCGCTTGAGGAATGAACCATAGGACAGGGGATCTTCCTTTCTGTCTCTCCTCCTCTCTGAATATCTGCTTTTCCAATAAAAATAAATAAATTAATTAAAAAAAGATCATCGCCATTGTTTTAAGATATAGGTAGCAGAGTACTGCTTTTGATTCAACTGTGTTAAGTCATCATTTTCTCAAGCTAAGTGCTTGCTGTTCCCAAATATGCAACGATTACTTTTATACTTTTTCCTTCTAGCACTTTCTTGATTGGCTTTGCAGAAATAAAGTAAAAAAAAAAAAAAAGTCCTCTTTCTCAGGATCCACGTGCTTCATCTAGGATGTAAGGGGTGGATTCCATGAAAACATGAATACTAGGCTCCATGTGCACCTTGTGGAGGTGTCCCAAAACTCCCAGGTGATTTCCCATCTCTAAAGGTACCAGCCTCTATCTCATTAAAAGAGGCCAACAACTTGGGGGAAGCTCACTTGCTTGCTCTCACCAGGAACATGGCTGGAAGTGCTGCACAGGTGCCCTCTCTCTGCTTCCATGTTTCCTTCCTATAGGAAATCCTGTAAGCCACTCATGCTGGATAGATCCTACAGCGGAGGAGAGAGGTATTCTATCTGCTGATTCACTCCCCAGATGGCTGCAATAGCTAGAGCTGAGCAGATGTGAAGCCAGGAGCCAGGAGCTTCTTTAGGGTCTCCAATGTGGGTGAAGGAGCTCAAGGACTTCAGCCATCCTCCACTACTTTCCAAGCCATTACTGGGGAGCAGAATTGGAAGTGGAGCAAACAGGACTCAGTCTGATGGCTCAATGGGCTTATCCTTCCCTTTAAAGTGCCGAGATCCCATAAGGGCACCAGTTTGTGTCCCACAGCTGCTCCACTTTCCATCCAGCTCCCTGCTTACGGCCTGGAAAAGCAGCAAAGGATGGCTCAACACCTTGTGACCCAACACCTGTGTGGGAGACATGGAAGAGGCTCCAGCCTCCTTGCTGACTTCAGATAGGCTCATCTTTGCCTGTTGTAGCCACTTGGCGAGTGAATCAAAGGATGGAAGATCTTTGTATCTGTCTCTCCTTCTCTCTGTAAATCTGCCTTTCCAGTAACAATAAATAAATCTTCAAAACAGAACAAAGCTAGAAACAACAAAAGACATTGTTCACAACAATATTACATCTTGAGGGCTAGTTTCAGAGTATTCTACCTCAAGGAACAAGTGACCTTCATAATTGGCTATAAAGCACTTATTTTAGGATGTCCACTTGTGGTGCTAGAATCCCTTATAGGTGCAGGTCATTTTTTTAAAGGTTTATTTTATTTTCATTACAAAGTCAGATATACAGAGAGGAGGAGAGATAGGAAGGAAGATCTTCCATCTGATGATTCACTCCTCAAGTGAGCGCAACGGCCGGAGCTGTGCTGATCCAAAGTCAGGAGCCAGGAACTTCTTCCAGATCTCCTGCATGGGTGCAGGAACCCAAGGCTTTGGGCTGTCCTTGACTGCTTTCCCAGGCCACAAGCAGAGAGCTGGATGGGAAGTGGAGCTGCCGGGATTAGAACTGGCATCCGCATGGGATCCTGGCGCATTCAAGGCAATGACTTAGCCGCTGGGCCGCCGCCAGGTTCTATGTGCAGGTCATTTTTGAAGAAGAAAAAAGATAAAGAGGAAGTCAGTAGACATCCGGTGAAGACAGGGACTAAGTTTGTACAAGGCCAATCTCCTTACTGTAGTGGTAGAGGAGAAAAATCCCAAATCATACTCACCTGTTGCTATTGACACATGAGATAGAACACTGTGGAACTTGCACTCAAGCTGGGATACTGACTGTGGACAATATATTTTGTCTTGTGTTTTAAACAAATAAGCCTGTTTATTTAGATAGATTTATTTATTTTAAAGGCACAGTGACAGAAGGCAGAGAAATTCCATCCACTGCTTTACTACCCAAATGTTCCCAAAAGTCAGGGCTAGGCCAGGCAGAAGCCAGGAGCCAAAACGCATAACAGTCTCCCACGTAGTGGGCAGGGACCTGAGGACTTAGGCTACCACTGGCTGTTTTTCAGGGTAATAATTAGCAGGAAATTGGATGAGAAGCGGGGAAGCCAAAATTGTATCCCAGGCACTTCACTATTGGATGTGGGCACCCCATCTGCAGATTTACCCTGAGTCACACGCTGCCTCCTGATCTCAGCTGATCTGTTGCCATAGAGACCTAGAATGACCACATCATAGAACACATGTCACTAGAACAGATTCTTTTTAATTTTTTTCCCTTTTTAACTTTATTTTGACAATCTTTACATAGTAAATTTGGGTAAAAAGGTTCAAGAGCTATAGAAAAGTGGTTAAAACTATTATTTCCATATTGTTTCCTTTACGTATCTGAGATAAAGGGGGATATAGAGGGAGAAACCCCACCCAGTTTCCCATCCACCCCAAATCCCTGATGTGGGGCATGCTCTGAGATACTTGCTCAAGTGGTTTTGATAGTTCACCAGTTATAAATTGCTGCCAACCTCGCCACTCCAAACACGATGAGGTTATTGAAGAACCAACTGATTGACATAGACCATCATAGAGTCTCCATTTGCCCGGTATTTTGCTGCCAACATATAGCTGAGGTGGTTGATTGACTTGTTCTGTCTTCTCTCTTTTCTTGGTTAGGGTTCTGAGTTGGGCAGTTCGATTGGGGAGATCCCTAAAGTAACTGAGGTGAACTAGAACAGATTCTGCCATGTTCCACTGTGAGTCTATCAGTCTACACTGCCTTCAGCCATTTGTTTTTATTGAAAAATATTCATGCAGGGCTCAGCATGGTAGCCTAATGGCTAAAGTCCTCACCTTGCATGCACTAGCATCCCATATAGGTGATGGTTCATGTCCCAACAGCCCCACTTCCAATCCAGCTCCCTGCTTGTGGCCTGGGAAAGCAGTCGAGGATGGCCCAAAGGCTTGGGATCCTGCACCCATGTGGGAGACCTGGAAGAAGCTCCTGGCTCCTGGCTTCTGATCGGCTTCACTCCAGCCATTGCAGCCACTTGAGGAGTGAATCAACATATGGAAGATCTTCGTCCTCTGTCTCTCCTTCTCTCTATATATCTAACTTTCCAATAAAAATAAAGTAAATCTTTAAAAAACGCTAATGCAGTTCAAACTGGTTTCTCTGGTCCATGCCATCTCTTTTGTGCCAGACCTGACAGGAGGAGCGACTGCTTTACCTTCTTTTTGTCTGTGAGGACTAATGTGTATGACCAATGTATACAATACAGCAAAATTTAAACTTCATATCAACAGGGCTAGCGTGTTTGTATAGTTGTCTGGATGTCTGTCTACATTCCCATATGGCCACTGGTTCGAGTCCCAGCTGCTCTACTTCCAATCCAACTCTCTGGTTATGGCCTGGGAGGGCAGCAGAGGATGGCTCAGGTTCTTGGGCCCTTGCACTCAAGTAGGAGACCTGAAGGAGGCTCCCGACTCCTGGCTTTGGATTTTCTCAGCTCCGGCCATTTGTGGCCATTTGAGTAGTGAAGCAGCAGATGAAAGATCTTTTTGTCTCTACTCTGCCTTTTCAATAAAAATAAATAAATCTTAAAAATGGGGGGGGGGGGCGCTAGGGCGACAGCGCTATAATGTGCGTTTTGTTTGTTTGGTTGGTTTTTGTGATTGTCATAGTTCTTTAATAGGCTTTGGAAGAACGGGCAAACCACGAAAACAAGTTAAAGGATGGCAGAAGTGAAGATTGGGAGAGCCAAAAAAAGTAACTTACACAGGAGCTCTCCCGGATTCTTCCCTACCCTCAGCAGAGATTTATGAGAGCTCTGTGAGTCTTCCCATCATCCCCGGGTCCCTTTGTAGCAAAGAGACAGGATTTGCCCCGGCCATGCCAATTCCCGATGAAGCTACATCCACAACGCGAACCCACTAGCTCAGGCCAAGTTCACAACTTCACTACGCAGACACCAAAGCGCCAGCGCGTCATGCTCCCGCGAGACTTGGTTCCAGGCGATCATGTGACGGTCCAAGATGGCGGTGCCCAGTGAGGCAGAGGAGGAGGCTGTCGTTTACCTAGTAGTGAGCGGTATTCCCCCCGACCTGCGCTCGGCCCAGCTACGGAGCTACTTCAGCCAGTTCCGAGAGCAGCGCGGCGGGGGCTTCCTCTGTTTTCACTACCGGCACCGGCCCGAGCGCGCCCCTCCCCCGGCCGCTCCTGACGACTCTGCTGCGGAGGATCCGGCTCAGCCTTCGGCCACCGATGCGCGCGCTCTCTCCACTCGCGACTGTGCTCCGGTCCACGCACGCACCTGCTGCTGCGTCGTCTCGGTAAGGGGTCTGGCTCAAGCCCAGAGGTTTCTTCGCATGTACTCGGGCCGCCGATGGCTGGATTCTCAGGGGACGTGGCTGCCGGGTCGCTGTCTCGTCCGTCGGCTTCGACTGCCTTCTGAGGCTTCAGGTAAGAGTGAAAAAAGACAGTAAACTGCATCGATGGGCGCTTGGCACCTCTGAGGGGTGGCGAGGATAAGTTAGTCCCTTGATATAATTCTGTCGGTGTTGTGGAGAGAGTTTAATGTTCAGCCTTGCACTCCAGTTGAAAGCGGGAAGGAAAAAAAACAAGAAGGGCCGATTCGGACGATTTTTCACTTTCTAATTTGTTTGGTTTCTTCTGGGAACTTTTTCTCAGAAGAGTTGGTTTTGCGCTGACACAGATTTCTGTTCATCCAAAACAACTGGCAGAGAGACCAACTCGCCAGAGTTCATGCGGAAAGAAAAGAAGGACTGTGGTGGGGGTGGGGGGCATACAAATACCAGGGTTACCCAGACACAGAAACCAGTCGTGGGTTTTAAAGACTAAATGAGGAAGGATGTGTAAGTTGTCTTGAAGCCCTTATCCTTAGCTGTAAGAATGAATACGAGGCATCAGTGCAGGGTTCAACAATCAGTTGCTAGAAAGGCATTCCCATAGTATCTTTGTGTTGCGTGGCTGTGCCAGGCTGAGCTTGTGGCAGTCCTCTCGACAGTTTCTGTTGTCAGCCTCCTCTGTGTGAGGCCTCTGCCCGTTATGGCTCCAGGGCCTGTTCTGGCATCTTTGAAATTAACACTGCTGTTATTTTTCTTATACTCTTGTGTTCCTCACCCTCTCCTCTGAGGTGCAAATGAAAACATCCCTTTTCTTTGCACAGTTTGCCACTTTCCTGAAGTAACTTTGGTGAGCAAACAGGAACCACAATGCCACGCCCTCTAGTTCATTCACTGAACAGATGCTTGTGTTGTTGGCCTGAGTGGGAATCCACAGTGGAAGACAGATTTGGAAAAAGTTAACTATAGGGGCTGGTATGGTGGCTCAACTGGCTAACCCTCCACCTGCAAGGAAGGTGTTCTGTCAATGGTTCCTGGGCGCATGCAATGAACTTATCAGGCATGTTCTAAGCCCTACATTTTCTTTTCTTTTTTTTTCTTTTTATCTCCTTCTTTTTAAAAAATGTATTTTTATTTGAAAGGCTGATATACAGAGAGAAGGAGAGACAGAAAGAGCTTCTGTCTGCTGGTTCACTCACCAAGTGGCCACAATGGCTGTAGCTGAGCTGATCTAAAGCTAGGAGCTGAAGTTTCTTTTGAGTCTCCCACGTGAGTGCAGGGTCACAAAGGCTTTGGGTCATCCTCTGCTGCTTTCCCAGGCCACAGGCAGGGAGCTGGATGGGAAGTGGAGCAGCTAGGACACAAAGCGGCACCCAAATAGGATCCCAGCCTGTACAAGGTGAGGATTTAACCACTGAACCAAACCCTTCCTTTACTTATAAACCTATGAGACAAAGCTATTTTTTTAAGATTATTTTTTATTTGAAAGGCAGAGAAACAAAGAAAAAAAGAGATCTTTCATGTGCTGGTTTGCTCTGCAAATGGTCACAACAACTGAAGTTGGGCTAATCCAAAGCCAGGAGATAGGAGCTTCCTCCAGGTCTCCCACGTTTGCTCGGGTGCCCAAGGATTTAGGCTCTCCTCCACCGGATGGGAAGTGCAGCAGCCAGAACACCAGCAGATGCCTATATGGAATGCCAGCACTATAGGCAGAGGCTTAGTGTGTTGAGCCCCACAAACTTTTGTTGTTCTCATTTTGTGGGAGGAGACTGAAGGATGCAGAGGTGATGTGATTGGTCCGTGTTAGGAGCCAGCATCAGGGCTGCAATCCAGTACCTGGGCACCGCTGCCTGGAGCCCACGTCCTTTGTCACCAGCAGCTGTGGCATGACAGAGGGAGAAACTGATGTTCTCAGGAAATGTGGCCTTTCGTCTGGATCTTGAAAGATCAAGAGTAGTTTGTGGGAAAGAATGGCATTCATGGTAGGTGGCATTTGCAAAGATGTAGAGATGGATGGGCCAGCTGGTGAGGCTTTTGCAGCGTGGTGAGCTGCTGGGCATGGCTGGCACTCAGGGAATGAAGGGATGTGTGGAGAGGGAGTGGGAGCTGGTGACACTTGAAAACCAAAATGTCCGTGGGAACCAGATGTTGAAGATACTTGTGTGCCCAGTCAAGGTGGCAAGAAGTGACACATAGTTGCCAGGTGGTTCTGGCCAGGAAGAGAGGTTGGGATCAACAGACAGTAGAAAGGGAGGAAGACCATTAGGCTGAGGGAGTTAAACCTTAACTGATCTCTGGCTTATATATAATGCTAGAAGTTTCTTTCTTCTTTTTTTTTTTTAAGATTTATAAGATTTATTTATTTTCATTGGAAAGTCAGATATACAGAGAGGAAGATTTTCCGTCCACTGATTCACTCCCCAAATGGCCACAACTGCCAGAACTGAGCCAATCCGAAGGCAGGAGACTCCTCTGGGTCTCCCACACGGGTGCAGGGTCCCAAGGCTTTGGGCCATCCTCGACTGCTTTCCTAGGCCACAAGCAGGGAGCTGGATAGGAAGCGGGGTGGCCAAAATATAAACTGGTGCCCATATGTGATCCTGGTGCGTGCAAGGCGAGGACTTTAACCACTAGGCTATTGCACTGGGCCCAAGTTTCTGGATTTCAAGATTAATCCTTCTCTCTCCTTCCCAAGGTTTGGACTCCTTTCCTTTTAAGACCCGGAAGGAGCTGCAGAGCCGGAAGGCGGAGAATGAAGCGTTTACCCTGGCTGATCTGAGGCAGCTGCCAGAGCTGAACCCCCCAGTACTGATGCCCAATGGCAATGTGGGCACTCCCCTGCGGGTCTTTCTGGAGTTGATCCGGGCCTGTCGCCTGCCCCCTCGCATCATCACCCAGCTGCAGCTCCAGTTCCCCAAGACGGGCTCCTCTCGCCGCTATGGAAATGTGCCCTTTGAATATGAGGACTCCGAGACTGTGGGACAGGAGGAGCTTGTATACACAGCGGAGGGTGAGGAAATACCACAGGGGACGTGCCTTAAAGACCCGCCAGCCAGCCCCTGTGGAGGGCCCGAGGAGGACGGGGAGGAGGAGCAAGAGGCGTCTCACTCAGATGACGTGAGTACAGCGCGCTGGCACTGCCAGGCACCACTGTTCCATCACATGTGACCGGGATTCTGAGCCTGGTGACTTCAGTGCGGCAGGTCGCAAGGAGGAGGGGGTCCCGCTGATCCTGAATGTGAACTGCATGCGCATACATGCACTTTTGTTACTGGGAGGGTCCTGGTTTTAGTCCAAAGCTTCTTCCATGCCTCTTCTTCCCATTTCCTCGGAAGGAACAGCAGAGCTCCTTTCTGTGAATGCAAACGTTCAGCAGGAGAGGCACAGTGACTTGCCTACGGCCAGTGAAGCAAGTAGAGACCCCTGGGATGGCACCCTGCCTCTGCTGCTTCTCCCACCCCGTGCCTGGGCAATCCCCTCTGTTTTCTGACCTTGAATGGGGCCAAACCAACACGAGCCTGCATTCTGACTTTTATCAGTAAAATAGATCACGCTTCAATTCTCTTCTCCAGACCCGACTGTCCCTCCATAGAATCAAGTGAGGTGGACTTGTTGGGCCGATTCTGTGTGTCTTCTGGGTGAGTTCATCCAAGTCTCCAGAGATTACAGCCCAGCATTGCTGGCACATCCGGACCACATCTGGTAGCACAGCTGCCCTCCTGCCAGTCCCCCAGCCCCTGTCAGAGTCGTTCAGAGTTTGCCTGGGTCAGGGTTCCCCCAAATTCCACTCCATGAGTCACACCATCATCCCACAGGTCCAAATATCCCTGAAGACAGAGAAGCAGCATCCAGAATGGCTGCCTCCTGGTAGCATACTGGTGCTGCCCTCCTGTTTACTGTATGAGCAGGCTGCTGGGCTACTCTGAGCCAAGGCTCATGTGGGAAATGAGTATAGCGGTCCTTATCTCCCTGGATGCTGGGAAGATTGAGGGACCTTTCATCCAGCAAGCAGTGTTGCTTCGGTCCCTTCTTTTATGGTGACATATATCCAAAGGTCTGAATGGTGTGCGCTGGTGAGCACTGCGACTGGTGAGTCAGCTGTGTCGGTGAGGGCTCCATGCAGCCACAGGACTTGAGGGACAAGGAGGGTTTTCACCAGCTGGACAAGACGGTATAGATGAGAGGGCATGGGGCTGGGCAGCTGGACCCACAGGACACCTGTCCCTCCATCCATAGGATGATGACCGGGGTGAGGAATGGGAGCGGCATGAAGCGTTGCACGAGGATGTGACAAGGCAGGAGCGGAGCAGTGAGCGGCTCTTCGAGGAGGAGATTGAGCTGAAGTGGGAAAAGGGCGGCTCTGGCTTGGTCTTCTACACTGACGCCCAGTTCTGGCAGGAAGAGGAAGGAGGTAACGTCAGGTGGGGGTTGGGGTCATCCTGCTGCGTCCTCTTGGGGTCCCCTTTTCCACATGGTAGGTTCACTTCCTGACAGTGTCCCCAAGTGGAAGCCAAGGGATCAGGCTTACCTTTACTGTATGTGAGAGTTGCGTCATCCTTGAAAGTCATCACAGGGCTGGGGCCATGGTGTAGCACACTAAGCCTCCGCCTGTGGCACTGGCATCCCATGTTTTCCATGTTTGTTTCATGGCCACTCTACTTCCAATCTAATTCCTTGCTAATGGCCTGGGAAAGCAACAGAGGATGGTAAAGTCTGAGGGCCCCTACACCCACATGGGAGAACTGAAAGAATCTTCTGGCTTCCAGCTTCAGATCACTTCAGCTCTGGCCATTGTGGATGGGAACCCTCTCTCTGTCTCTCCCTTTTCTCTCTTACTCTTTCCAATAAATAGATCTTGTTTTTTTTTTAATCACTTGGTTTTTTTTTTTTTAAAGATTTATTTTTATTGGAAAGTCAGATATACAGAGAAGAGGAGAGACAGTGAGAAAGATCTTCTGTCCAATGATTCACTCCCCAAGTGCGCGCAACGGCCGATGCTATGCCGATCCGAAGCCAGGAGCCAGGAACTTCTTCCAGGTCTCCCACACGGGTGCAGAGTCCCAAGGCTTTGGGCTGTCCTCTACTGCTTTCCCAGGCCACAAGCAGGGAGCTTAATGGGAAGTGGAGCTGCTGGTATTAGAACCGGCACCCATATGGGATCCCGGGGCATTCAAGGCGAGGACTTTAGCCTCTAGGCCACTCTGCCGGGCCCAAGAAATAGATCTTAAAAGGAAAAAAAAAAAGGCCCATCAGTTCCAGGGAGGACCTCCCAGAGGAGGGAGAGTAGGGTTAGCCCGGCAATTCTGATGCCTGCCTCCTGACCCGGATGCTTGGGTGTGGGCTCTGGGTCTGGTCCTGCCTCCAGCTTCCTGGCATTGTGGACTCTGGGAAACAGTGGTGATTGCTCAAGGAGTCGGCTTCCTGCCAACCTGGACCATATGCCAAGCTCCCAGCTATGGCCTTATCCCAGCCCCTGCTGTGGTGTCCTCTGGGGAGTGAACCGGAGGATAGGAGCCCTCTCTGTGTCTTTGCCTCTCAAATAAATAAGAAATAAAAGAACATGAAAGCAGAAACAAAAATCCCAAGCTATAGAATTCTATACCTTAACTGCAGGTTTAGTTCTCCACAAAACAGAGGGTCCTTCACTCACTCTGCCAGACGCTTCTCTGTCCCTGCAGACTTTGATGAGCAGACGGCCGATGACTGGGACGTGGACATGAGCATATACTACGACAGAGGTACTGGGCGCGGGGAGGCTGTCACAGGAGGTGAAGGAAGGGCCTGGCCTGGCAGTGCTACTCCGCCAGCCCTGCTTAGCAGAGGCTGCGCCAGGGAAAGGGTCCTCTGGGAGAGGCCCCTCAGCTCCTCACTTCTGTCACCTCTAGGTGAGCACACGCAGTGCAGCCTGTAGACAGAACCTTTCCCCTATCTCTGAGGAGATAAGACAACGAGATGGCCCTCGGAGCTCTGAGCCTGGTACAGCGGGGTGGTCTGGAAGTTGGGAATCTCATCATAGAAGCAAAACATGCCAGGCATAGGGGGTTGGCGAGGGAAGACTTGAGTTCTGATCCCATCCGGGTCCCTTGCTGGTTCTGTGGATTTCCTCATCTGTGGGGAAGACACGGTTCTTCCTGCTGGCAAGCTCCCAGTGTAGCGAGAAAGAGAGGGGAGGGAACAACACCATGCATGAGTCAATATGAGGGGTGCCAGAAGCGTGATTCCCCTTTCCCTTGAGGGGGACCTTTCCACCGAGTGTCTCCTGGGTTCTCAGATGCTGGGGACAAGGATGCCCGCGACTCTGTCCGGATGCGTCTGGAGCAGAGACTCCGTGATGGCCAGGAAGATGGCTCTGTGGTTGAGTGGCAGGTGGGCACCTTCGAGCGCCACACCAAGGTGAGTCGGCGCTGTGCTCTGCCCACTGCCCTGCTGTTCCTCCTCTCCCTCTTGCTTTGCCCCTTCCACCCCTACGTGCTTCCGTGGGCAGGAGAGGGTCCAGTTTTTAAGCCTCGTCCCTTCCCTCTGCAGGGCATTGGGCGGAAGGTAATGGAACGACAGGGATGGGCCGAGGGCCAAGGCTTGGGCAGCAGGTGCTCAGGGGTGCCGGAGGCATTGGATGGTGATGGCCAGCACCCCAGATGCAAGCGTGGATTAGGGTGAGTGTGGCAGAGGGACTTCTGGGGGCCCTAGCTTCCATTGGATGGGTGCTGGGTACTTCCAGGGACAAATTCGGAAACCCAATTAGAGGGAAAAAAGTGCCTCTGACACTTTGATCCCCAAGCAGTCTGGACTTAAGAGCTGGTGGGGAGCCCATAGTGACAGAACGGGAGTGTGTCCCAGGCCCCTGGTGGCCGGCACTGTTAGGAGTCGGGGGAGCTGGACACAGGATCTGGTCTCAAAGGCTCCATGTGGAGGACACCTGGTACCATTAACAAAGGACGGAGGACAACAAATTGGTCAACTACCCCAGCCAAGTGCTGGCAGTGAAAAACTGGGCAAACGGAGACTAAGGTGACCTATGTCAGCCAGTGGATTCTGGAGATTTCATTGTGCTTGGAACGGGGAGATTGGCAGCAATTCGGAACTGCTGAGCTATCAGAACCACCTGAGCAGGCATGGGGGACCCTGGGATGGTTGGGAGGCTCGATGTGGTTTCTCCCATTATCTCCTCCCTTCCCCCAGATACAGGAAGGAAAAAAGAGAATGTGGAAACAGTGATCTTACTCACTTTCCTCTAGCCCCGACCCTTTGCACTCTAGTCAATTATGTAAAAATCATCATCACAAAAAAAAAAAAGGCTTCGTGTTGGGGACAAAGCAGGTGGATGTCGTCAGGTCCCTATCCCTTCCCACCTCCATGACCGGGGTCTGAACGCAACAGCCCTCTCACGGTAGCTCTTTTGATGCAGGTACCACGGCGAGAAGCTACAGCCTTTTGGGCAATTCAAGAAGCCCCGTGGAACGGGCCTGGGGCTCATTTCCACCATCTACGATGAGCCCCTGCCTCAGGACCAGAGGGAGCCGCTGCTCCGCCGCCAGCCGCCCACCAGCATGAAGTTTCGGACAGACCTGGCCTTCGTGCGGGGCTCCGGCGGGACCTGGAGCAGCTGCGCCGAGCCCGAGTGACCTCGGCCCGCGCCCGGCCCGCGCCCGAGCGGCCACCGAGGCCAAAGGCCAGGGGGCCTGTTCGGGCCTTGCCTAGTTCTCTACCTCAAGGACGGGTTTACGAAAAGCTCCCTGTCCTTCCTTCGGATTTCAGAGCTCCACGATGGAGCGGCACTGGTCTCCTAACCCCGGGCCCGGACTGCGCTGCCCCGTCCCGCCTCCCGGCACTCGGAAAAACTGGGTTTTCCGGCGTTCTCCACGTGATCCAGGCGGGGCGGGCAGAGTCCGCGGGAGACGGCCCAAGTCTGCGACGTGTGGTGGGTGGGAGAATAAACTTTGCCAAACGGATCTCCCCTTCTCTTTTTGACTTGGAGCCTAAAGCGAGTCGGGAAGTAACAGGAAATTTCCGTTCCCGGAGATGCGCAGTGGATACTTGCGCAGCCACGCCTCTCTCCGGTGCGTCATCCGACGGGGGCAGGACTTCCGCCTCAGGTCCCGCCGCTTCCGACGCCATCCGGAAGTCGGGAGTTTGGGCCATTCGGTCCATTTGCACTGTTCCACGGACAAGCGGTCTTCTCCAGTTTCCTGCACGTCTGAGCTCCCCCGCCGTCGCTCGGGCTGTCTCCTTCGCGCCTGGCCGCTGTGTTCCCACCACACCTCCCGAATCCGACTGGCCCCGTGCCATGGCAGAGGCCGTGGTGACCACGGCCTTCGGGCAGGCGGTAATCGGGCCGCCGGGCTCGGGGAAGACCACTTACTGCCTGGGCATGAGTGAGTTCCTGCGCGCGCTTGGCCGGCGCGTGGCCGTGGTGAACCTGGACCCGGCCAACGAGGGGCTGCCGTACGAGTGCGCCGTGGACGTGGGTGAGCTGGTGGGGCTGGGCGACGTGATGGACGCGCTGCACTTGGGCCCCAACGGCGGCCTCCTCTACTGCATGGAGTACCTGGAGGCCAACCTGGACTGGCTGCGAGCCAAGCTCGACCCCCTGCGCGGCCACTACTTTCTCTTCGATTGTCCGGGCCAGGTGGAGCTGTGCACGCACCACAGCGCCCTGCGCAACATCTTCTCCCAGATGGCTCGGTGGGACCTCAGGGTGCGTCCCAGGCCGGGGCCGTGGAGGGAGGACGGGAGGACGCTCCCCAGGTCACACAGTGAGCTAGGGGCTGAGTCGCTTGGAAGTGAGACTGGCTTGTGAGCTCAAAACAATTTTTTTTAAGATTTATTTTTATTGGAAAGGCAGCCTTACAGAGAGATAAGAGAGATCTTGCCTCCCCTGGTCCACGCTCCAAATGGCTGTAACAACCAGAGATGTGTTGATCCAAAGCCAGGAGCCAGGAGCTTCTTCCGGGTCTCCAATGTGGGTACAGGGTCCCAAGGCTTTGAGCCATGCTCTGCTGCTTTCCCAGGCCACAAGCAGGGAGCTGGATGGAAAAGTGGAGCAACCTGGACATGAACCGGTATTCACATGGGATCCAGGTGCTTGCAAGCAAAGGATTAGCCAATTGAGCCACCAGGCTGGGCCCCGTGAGTTCAAATTGTGACTCTGCCACTGACTGGCTGTGTGGTCTGGGTCAGTCAGTTCAGTGTCTCAGCTGCTAAATGCGTGTGTTTATTGCCAACTTACTGTCTTGGGAAGTAAGGAAGACATTATGTAACAAGTGCTGTGGTGGGAAAAAGGGAAGGCCTGGAATCTGGTGCTGTGGGCTTTGAACCTACCCACCAGAAGGCGTGGTACCGGGCATGGTGTAAGACAAAAAAAGTGCCCCTTCTCTCCCAGAAAGAGAACGAAGAGTGGTGATTAGAACAAGGCGGGAGCCGGAGGAGAGCGGAAGGAAGGACCCTGTGGTCTTTAAGGGGAGCTTGGCCTGCCTCCCTGGTCACTCTCACTCTTGTCTCGTCCCCTTGCAGCTGACAGCCGTGCACCTGGTGGACTCTCACTACTGCACAGACCCGGCCAAGTTCATTTCAGTGCTGTGCACCTCCTTGTGCACCATGCTGCATGTGGAGCTGCCTCACGTCAACGTCCTGTCCAAGATGGACCTCATTGAGCACTACGGGAAGCTGGGTGAGAGCTCCCACTCCGGGCATCGCCCGCTCCAGGCAGGCAGCATGGGGCCGACATGATCAGAGGGCTCCATACCAATCACCATTGTTGGTTCTGGAGTCAGGAGCTGCAGTTAGCAACGTGATGTTTGAGGGGATTGAAGCAAGGTGGTGTGACTGGGTGACTGTGGGTGAGGGACAGGCAGGCAGTGTCTGACTACCCTGAGGCAGTCCCTTCCCAGCCAATGCCCTCCCCACCCCCCGGTGATGAGAAGGCACGGGTGGAGGGATGAAGGGATGTGAGGGCCTGGTCTTGGCCTGCGCTGCATCCATTGCTCATGGCACTGGAAGCGGATCTGGTGTGGGAGGAAGAGAGCGTGCTGAGGTCACATGATCAGAAGTTGAATTGCCAGTTGAAGAATGTGAGTGTGTGTGGGCGGGAGCCTGCCGCACATTGCCTCGTTCTACTCTAAAGGCTGTGTTAGCTGGCCCTGCCGTCCGCAGGAACATGCTGATTTCATCCAGGCTCTCACGGCAGTCCTGAGCGCCTTCGTCGCCAACACTGGTTTCTCTCCTTAGCCTTCAACCTAGACTACTACACGGAGGTGCTGGACCTGTCCTACCTGCTTGACCACCTGGCTTCAGACCCCTTCTTCCGCCACTACCGCCAGCTCAATGAAAAGCTAGTGCAGCTCATCGAGGACTACAGCCTGGTCTCCTTCACCCCTCTGAACATCCAGGTACAGGCGGCTTCGCGGGACTGGGCACTCGGCCGGCTCTGCGGGCAGTGCTCTTGGGCCTGGGCTCCGTCTGGTTTTGATGGGGAAGGCCGGTGAGCACAGACCCTGGAGAGAATGGCCCGCATTCTTGCCCCGTCTCTTCTGTACAGCTGTGTCTGTGCCACTCATGTTCCCCCACCTCTGTGAAGATTGGGTGGGTGGAGCAAGTCCTCAGTGGGGCCAGTGCTGTGATGTAGGGGGTTGAGCGGCTGCCTTTGGTCCCAACATCTCAAATGGACTGCACCCAAATGGAAACAGCCAGTTCAAGGTCCAGCTGCATCCAGTCCAGCTCCCTGGTCATGACCTGGGAGAACAACAGAGGCCTGCACTAGCCCAAGTTCTTAGGTTCCTGCATCCACATGGGAGGTCTTGAAGCTTTTGGCTCCTGGCTTCAGCCTGGCCCAACCCAACCCTTGGAGCCATCTGGGGAGTGAACCAGCAGATGGAAGCTCTCTGTTTAACTCAGCCTTTCAAGTAAAATAAATGAATCTCCTAAAGTAAACACGAAATCTCCAGCAAGAAGCTTGTCCAGGGTCTCGGATGAGTCTTTGAATCACCTATAGCTGGCAGGTGCCTGCTGATGGGAGGTGGTGCCCAGGGCCTGCGCCTTGGCCTGGCACCTGCAGAGGTCACCTGGGGGCCACACTGCATGCAGACTCCTTTCCTGAAGCTAATTTGCCTCTTCTCTTTCTCCTGTTATTTATTTGTAAGGCAGAGACAGCACTCCCTTCTGTAAATTCATTCCCCAAATGCTAAACAATCATTGGTGCTGGGCCAGGCTGAACCCAGGAAATGAACTTCAGTTGTTTGCTGCATGGGTGGGAGGGCCCCACCTGAGCCGCCACCTGTCGCCTCCCAGTAAGTGTGTCAGCAGGAAGCTGGAGTCGGAAGCAGAGCTGGCACTCAAACCCAGGCCCCCATGTGAGATGCGGCATCTGAAGCGGCATCTTAATTGCTGAATCAAATGTTTGCCCTGTCTCTCTTCCTTTTTTTTTTTTTATGTTTGTTTACTGTTTGAAAGACACTGATAGAAACATCTATCCACTGGTTCACTTCCCAAATGGCTGCAATAATTTGGAGTTAGTCCAGGCCAAAGCCAGGAGCCAGGAACTCTGTCCTGGTCTGCCACGTGAGTGAAAGGGGCCCAGGTACTTGGGTCCTTCCTTGCTGTTTTCCTAGATGCATCAACAGGGAGCTGGATTGGAAGCAGAATGGCTGGGCCTTCAACCAGTGCTCACATAAAATGCTGGCATCGCAAGGAGCAGCTTAACTTGCTGTGTCACAATATCAGCAAGCCCTTCTTTTTTTTTTTTTCTTTAAATGAATACATCTTTGGAAAAAAAAAACATGTATTTATTTTTATTGGAAAGTCAGGTATAGAGAGAAAAGGAGAGGCAGAGAAAAAAATCTTCCATCCGATGATTCACTCCCCAAGCGGCTGCAGTGACTGAAGCTGAATCAACCTGAAGCCAGGGGCTCGTCCAGGTCTCCCACGCGGGTGCAGGTCCCCAAGGCCTTGGGCCGTCCTCAAATGCTTTCTCAGGCCACAAGCAGGGAGCAGGAAGGGAAGCGAGGATGCAGGGATTAGAACTGGAGCCCGTATGGGATCCTGGCATGTGCAAGACGGGGACTTTAGTCACTACGCTATCACACTGGGCCCCTCTGTTTGCCTTCTAATGCCACACTTTGGTTCCCTATCTTGAGATGGTATCATCATCGTTCTGTGTGTTATTCATAACAAGAAGCTCTCTCTGAAGGCCTTTTCTGGGAGGCACCAAGGAGTGTATACTTTGATCTGCCCTTCGCATTTGGTGAGGTGGCCTATTCTGACCACCAAGTGGGTGCTGACCCAGTTCAGTTAAATAGCACACATGGTAACCAAACACCTGTTCTGTTATCACTGGTCCTGTGCCAGGCTGACCTCTGAACTCTCAGGGAATGAGTTTGAGTGAGAGGGCAGATGTACCACCAGGTGTTCATGAGATAGGGGTGGGGGCCTGTCCTCAGTGAGGGGTGCAAGGGGCCCCGGAGGAGCTCCTGTCTTCTGACCAGACTGGGTGGCGTCAGGTGTGGCCACCATGCTCACAGGCTCCTCCCCTCCTCCCTCAGGACAAGGAGAGTGTCCAGCGAGTTCTGCGGGCCGTGGATCAGGCCAACGGCTACTGCTTCGGGGTCCAAGAGCAGCGCAGCCTGGAGGCCATGATGTCTGCAGCGGTGGGAGCTGACTTCCACTTCTCCTCGTATCCTTGCTGGTCAGCCGGCTCTGGCCGGAAGCTGAGAATTGGGTGCTGGGAGTGGCTGCTGCAGGTGCAGGCCCCCCCAACCTCCGTAGGCGGCTGGTTCCCTGGAGTTGGGCTCCCTGAGTTGTGTTTCCTGTGCCGAGGTTGCCCTGACGATGAAGGAAGACTGCGATGGGGGGGTCCCACAGGGATGCTGGCACCTGGAGAAACCCCTGAGGTGCCATTTTCCAGGAGCATTGCAAGGGACAGGCCAGCTGGCAGTGCAGGCTTCAGCTGCACAGTGGGTCCTGTTGAGCAGGGGCTGTCGGCAGGAACACCAGGTTCGGGTGCATGGCATAGAGCAGCCCCTCCAGCAGGGAGACTGCCCCGGAGGAGGGCGACTGGGGAGAACGGAGGTTCCCAGGGTCGTTGGGTAAGGATGAATGAAACGCTGTTGGAAGAAGCTAGAGATCAGGAAAGAGTGTCAGCTGCAGGAGTTGGTGCCTGGGAGGTTCTGGCATGGGCAGACTATGGGCTCCCTGGCTTCCGGCTCAGACAGGGAGGTAGGCATTTGTGTCAGTCATTGAGAGGGGTGGAGCCGCCAGGATTAGAACCAGCGCCCATATGGGATCCCAGTGTGTTCAAGGCGAGGACTTTTAGCCACTAAGCCACCGCGCTGGACCCAAAAACAAATAAATCTTAAGCAGTGTTGGCAAGGCCTGACCTGGCGAGCACCAACCTGACATGCTGTGACACAGCTCGTGCCCCACATGTGTTGTGTTGAAGGAATGGCTAGAATTGGAGCAGGGGCAGCCAGGACTTTAGAGTCACAGCAGTGACTGTTGAGGTCGAGGGAGCCAGGTCAGTGGCTGCCATCATTCAGGTCACAAGGTCGTGAAGCAGGCCAGGCAATGCGGGCCCTCCAGCCTCATGGTCTGGCTCTGTTCCTGTAGAGGAGACACCCTATGTGCCAAGCAGATGTGTGTCTTCTTCTTCTTTTTTTTTTTTTTATTGGAAAAGCAGACATACAGAGAAAAGGCGATATGGAGAAAAAGAGGTTCTGTCTGCTAGTTTATTCTCCAAGTGGCTGCAATGGCCAGAGCTGCCAAACAGAAGCCAGGAGTTTCTTCCAGATGTCCCATGTGGGAGCAGGATCCCAAGGCCTTGGGCGATCCTCTGCTGATTTCCCAGATTACAGAGGGGAGCTGGATGGGCAGCGGAGCAGCTGGGACACAAACTGGTACCCATATGGGATCCCGGCACATGCAACTGAGGACTTGGCCACAATGCTACTGCACCGTGTCCTGCTTTGAATTTTTGTGTTCCTTCAATTTAGTAGAAGATTTATAGCAGTCGGGGAAAAAAAAATAGATTGATTTTTTTGAAAGACAATGAGAATTGATAGCATAAACCATCCCTTAGTTCTCTCCCCAAATGGCCACGGCTGCTGAGACTGGGACACAGGGAAGCAAGGAGGCGAGCATTCTGTCGTCATGAGCGGCAGGCGCCGAGGAGGTTGGGCCATTGCCTTCTGCCTTTCCCAGTGCGTTAGCCCAAAGCTGGATCAGAAGCGAATAGCCAGCACTCAAACGGCCCTCTGATGCAGGGTGCTGATGTCATAAGCAGTGTAACATCCGGCTCCACAGCATCAGCCGCTCTAAGTTCATTCTCGCACAAAGAGAGAAGACAAAGTCATTGAGTCCCTAAGATGTGCTAGTGTCGAGCTGGCACTTCCTGCCATTGTCCTCTAACCCTCAACAGCACTCAAGTGATTTTTTTTTTTTCAGAGAAGAGGAGAGGCAGAGAGGAAGATCTTTTGTCCATTGATTTATTTCCCAAGTGGCCGCAGAGCTGATCTGTAACCAGGAAGCAGGAGCCTCCTCCAGGTCTCCACATGGATGCAGGGTCCCAATGCTTTGGGCCGTCCTTGACTGCCTTCCCAGGCCACAGGCAGGGAGCTGGATGGGAGGTGGGGCGCTGGGCTAAGAACCAGTGTCCATATGGGATCCCAGTAGACCTTTGTGCCAGGCCCTCAAGTGATGTTTTACACATGAAAAAAAGGAAGTGGTGAAGGCAGGATTTGAACCCCTTGGTCTGGCTGCAGCGCCTGGGCCATGTGGTAAGGGGCAAGTCCAGGAGCGTTCGGGTCCGACTGCCTTGGGAGCTCTCAGACCTGCTTGTTCTTGTTGCCCTGATCTGAAGGGATGATTAGAAGGAGGAGTGGGAGGAGTCTGCCAGGCATGGGGGGAGTCAGATCCTGTCCCACCCAGTTTGCCATCCTCTGTGGGTGCTGCCAGCCTTGACGCTGTCCTTCAGCACACTGGGTATCCAGGAGAAGTACCTGGCACCGTCGGAGCAGCCGGTGGAGCAGGAAGCCATGCAGCTTTAACGGGCTGGGGCCTGGGAGGCCGATGCACAGCCCAGCCCAGGGAAGGCAGAGACTGCCACTGAGCAACGGACATCCCGGCCGACACAGACCCTGGAGCAGTCCTCCAGGTCGGAGCTCAGGGGGCTGGCACGGGGACACTCAGCTCTACGAAAGGCTTCAGCCAAAGTCGTGTGTGGCACCAAGCCAAGCCCCTCACATTCTCAGCCAAGCCCGGGAGCCATGGGCCCTGCCACCAGGAGTTGAACACTGCCCCACCGTGAGCTGTGCTGGCAAGTACTGTGGTGTACCAGTTTACTTCATGTTTGTTTGTGGCTGCCAAACTTCTCTTCCATCCTCCAGGCTCAGGGAATTGGGGGCGGGAAGGGGTGTCTCCCTCCCCTACAAGTGTCCCATCCTACGTGCAGATCTGTGTTGGCTCAAGCACCAAATTTGCCATACTAGAGGATTTTTTAAAAACATTATTTATTTGAGAGACTCCAGCAGACCCCTTCTGCCTGCCTACTACAGCCAGAGCTGGGCCAGGCTAAGGCTGGGGCCCAAGAACTCAGTCCAGGTCTCTCAAGGATCCGAGTCGGCGCCTGCTGCCTCCCGGGGCTCGTTAGCAGGAGTGGTCAAACGCCAACCCACAAAACTCATCTTTATGCCACTCCCCACCCTGAACACTAGAGGGCCGAACGTCTCCAGTTGTGTACTTTTGTTCATCTCCCCTTGTGATGATGAGTCTCAAGTTTGAGCCTTTCCCGGCAGCATGTCCTAACGAAGTTTTGTTTTATTATTCCACAGTTTTACTCTTTTTGGCAGGTATCTGTCAGTTTCCACTTAGCACACCGATTAAAAATGTGCTTCAAAAATTATATTTCTACAAAGTGAGTTGGTTATTGGAAAATGTTAAGTATATTATGACAGTTACAAAGGTTGGCAAAAATTTAGCTTACTGGTTGCTTTTAGTTCTTGACGCTGGTTGCTGCAGTTCATATCTTGTGCCAGCAGGTGGCGACCCAGACTTGATTTTGCCGTGGGAACCTGGCGCTGGGCAGGACCCAAGGCCTGGGGAAGGCTGTTGGAGACATTTACTGCTGAAGGCTTCGTGTTTTACCGAGATGCCGCATGGCTCACCCTCGTGGTCCTCACAGCAACCCCAGGATATAGGCAATATGAGGAGTATTACTAAGCCAGTACCCTTTTTTTATTTTTTATTTTTTTTACATATTTGATCAAGGTGCAAAGGGTCAAGGGCTAGAGGAAAATGGGTGAAACATTGCTTTGACATTCTCTTTTTTCCTTCCTGTATCTGGGGAAGGGGAGAGATTAAGGGAGAAGCCACAGCCAGCCTCCCGACCATCCCAGAGTCCCCGATGTGGGGTATGCTCTGAGGCTCGTGCTCAAGTGGTTTTGATAAGACAGGGTGACAGAGATCTTTCATCTGTTCCCTCTCCAAGTACCTGCAGTGACCAGCACCGACTCAGGCCAAAGGCAGAAGCCAGGACGCCATCCTGGTCCCCCATGCAGGGAGCACAGACCCAAGTGCCCAGGCCACCATTGCCTTCCAGGCCCATTAGCAGGCAGCTGGATTGAAGCACCGCAGTGTGGGTCACCAGTGTCCCAGGGGCAGGTGAGTGTCTGCTGCCTGTCTCGAATGGAAATGAAGCAGGAAGATGAGAATTTGAACATCAACCAGTGTGGCTTCTTTGGAGGAATGTCTCAGCCCTCACTGCATGGGATTTGTAGCCAGTCAAGCGAACGGGTCACCTCTCCCAAATAACTCAGTCCTAGGTCAAGAGGCAGGTAGATCGCCAGCAGATGCAGCTGTTGGAGAATTTGATTCTGAACAACTGAAACAGCAACAAGAGCCTTGCTTTCCGGTTCCGGGAGCTAGAGCCGAAGGCAGAGCAAGGGCCACACGGAGGCTGCATGGTTGGGGCAGGGTGAGAGCAGCCGGCCTCGCTCCCACGCCTGGCCGCACGGGGGATAATGAGTGGGTGCTGCTTCCCCAGCCCCTTTCATCTGAGCACTTCAAAGCGCCTCACCCCATTAACGCCCGGTGTGGTAGGTGGGGAATACCAGCAGAGCCAGCTGGGGAAACTGAGGCCAGGAGGCACCGCCAGGAGCCGGCTGTGAGTCATTTAGGCCACCTGACATCCCCCAGGCGTGGGGGTGGGTGAGGAGCTGCGGTCACAGGTTCTGATACTTGTCCCCAAGGCCCCTGCTCTCGCCAAAATGAGCCAGATGTGGGGACCAGAAGGCGTCACCTAGAACTTTACGGGCAGACGCCCTCAGCACGCACTTGCTGTGGTCACTGTAGGCTTTGTGCAGCTGTCTTCCTGCTCAGTGAACGCAGCTTCTGTCCAGCTCCGACTGGTGGCAGAATGATCTTCTGGTCCCTTTGTGTTCCCTAAGGTGAGGGAGGGGCTGGCACTGCAGAAAGGGAGAGGTGCATTAGTTCCAAGAGAGGCCCGTTCAATGAAGATGGTATAGGGCAAGTGGTAGTTCATCTTCCAATGTGGTGACATATGGCAGCTATCATTAAACTTATTTGAAAGATAGATGGCCCATGCAGTAGCCTAGTGGCTACAGTCCTGGCCTTGCACACATTGGGATCCAATATGGGCACCAGTTCCCATCCAGAAATCTGCTTGCGACCTGGGAAAGCAGCAGAGCATGGCCCAAAGCCTTGGGATCTGCACCCGTGTGGGAGACCTGGAAGAAACTCATGACTCATGGCGCAGCTCTGGCCATTGTAGCTGCTTGGGGAGTGAATCAATGGATGAAAGATCTTCCTCTGTGTATCTGACTTTCTAATAAAAAAAAGAAATCTTAAAAAAAAAGACGAGGGAGAGATCTTTCATCTACTAGTTCACATTCCAAATGCTGACAGTAGCCAGGGATGGGCCAAGCCAGTCAGGAGCCTAGAACTTGCTCCAGGTCTCCCAAGTAGGCGGCAGGTGTGTACTTGCGCCTTCAGGTCAGGGATGAGCAGGAAGCAGAATTGGAGGCACAGCACAAACCTGAGCTCAGGTACTCCAGTGTGGGCCATGATCCCACCCAGTCAGCATCCCAGCCGCCGCACGAAGGGCTGCCCCACAGCCGTGTTTAGTAAGATTTACTTGAATGGACACTGGTGCATGTCCTGGCTCCCCTGCTTCCCATCCAGCTCCCTGCTTGTGGCCTGGGGAAGCAGTCAAGGATGGCCTATAGCCTTGGGACCCTGCACCCGCATGGGAGACCTGGAAAAAGCTCTTGGTTCCTGGCTTTAGATCAACTCTGCTGCATTGTGGCCATTTGGGGAGTGAACCAGTGAATGAAAGAACCTCTTTGCCTCTCTTCTCTATAGTGTGCTTCTTTGATAAACAAAAATAGATCTTAAGTTATTTGAGAGGCATAAAACTTCCATCCCTCCCAGGTATCCATAGCAGTTAGGACTGGGCTGGGGTCAGAGGTCAGGAACTCATCCACGGCCTGGCAAGGATGACAGGAGCCCTCGCCACTGCCTCCCAGTGGCTGCAGCAGGAAGCTGGGATCAAACTCAGGCTAGGTGTGGGAGTCAGACTCCAGTACAGGAGGAGGCAGGTGTCTTACCCTTAGGTTAGTACTGTAACTGCTAGACTAAACGCCCACCCTGTTATTTTTTTCTTTTCTGATAAAATGTTAAGAACTTGGGAAATGAAAAGAGAAAATAGGTTATTTGTAATCCCATTTCAATAAAGATTATTAATATTTATTAGTAATAAAATTGCTATCATATATAAATGTATATTGTATATTTTGGTCTTTTATATGTGTGTGTAGAGGTATTGCATTTATGTAAGTGGAATTATTTATTTTAGGTTTTTTGAAAAAGAGATTTGGTGGGCCCGGCGCGGTGGCGCAAGTGGTTAAGGTCCTTGCCTTGCACGCCTGGGATCCCATATGGGCGCCGGTTCTAATCCCAGCAGCCCCACTTCCCTTCCAGCTCCCTGCCTGTGGCCTGGGAAAGCAGTCGAGGACGGCCCAAAGCTTTGGGACCCTGCACCCGCATGGGAGACCCGGAAGAGGCTCCTGGCTTCAGACTGGCATAGCATTGACCGTTGCGCTCACTTGGGGAGTGAATCATCGGACGGAAGATCTTCCTCTCTGTCTCTCCTCTCTGTATATTCGCCTTTCCAATAAAAATAAATTTAAAAAAAAAAAATTCTGCATCATTTACGTGTGTGTTTGTATATATAGTCTATGAGGTCAGTATTGTCACACAGCAGGTTAAGCCTCCACTTTCATTGCTGGCATTCATTGCTTTGGGCCGTCCTCAACTGCTTTCCCAGGCCACAAGCAGGGAGCTGGAAGGGAAGCGGCTGCCAGGATTAGAACCTGCGCCCATATGGGATCCCGGGCGTGCAAGGCGAGGACCTTAACCACTTGTGCCACCGCGCCGGGCCCAATGATGCAGAATTTTTTTGTTTATTTGAAAGGCGGAGTTACCAGGCAGGGGCATAGGAGAGACAGATCTCCCATTTGTTGGAACTAACTGTATTGGAAGTGGAGGTGCCAGGACTCGAACCAGCACCCATATGGGATGCCAATGCTGCAGACAGCAGCTTTACTCACTGTGCTATAGTACTGCTCCCCCATAACTTTTTCTAAGAACTTTTATTTATCTTTAAGGTGGTGGGATTGGCAGCGATGTGCTATCCACTAGTTCATTCCCTTCAAGTCCCTGCAGTAACCAGGGCTGGGACAAGCTGAAGCCTGAAGCCTGGATGGCAGTGCTACCTGGGCCAGGAGCTATGCCTGGCAGGACGGAGAGCACTCTGGTAGGGCCTGCAGGCATGCCAAGGGACAGGCTAATTGCTGCCCTACATGTCTGCTGTCACAAAGCTCTTTGTAACATCTGTGTGATAATATTTGATGGTGTGACTGTAACATTGTTTATTCCAACTCCCACTGCTGGCCTGGGAGCCATTGCCCTGTTTAACATCTGAACCGAAATCTTTGAGTGCTGATTTTTTTTTTTAAAGATTTATTTGTTTATTGGAAAGTCAGATATACAGAAAGGAGGAGAGACAGAGGAAGATCTTCCGTCCGATGATTCACTCCCCAAGTGAGTGCAACGGCCGATGCTATGCGAATCCGAAGCCTGGATCCAGGAACTTCTTCTGGGTCTCCCACATGGGTGCAGAGTCGCAAGGTTGGGCCGTCCTCGGCTGCTTTCCCAGGCCACAAGCAGGGAGCTGGATGGGAAGTGGAGCTGCCAGGATTAGAACCGGCGCCCATATGGGATCCCAGGGCGTTTAATGTGAGGACTTTAGCGCCGCTAGGCCATGCCGCCGGGCCCTGAGTGCTGATTTTTAAACTAAGATACCAGCCCAGAAATGGAAGAGCCGCCATGTTCCAGGTGGTGGGCTCGCATTACTGAAATGCTTTCCTAAAAAGTGCCACTGGGATGGTTCACCCGATGTGTGTGCAGCTGCTCGTCTCGCTTCAGTTGCCAACTGTACCCCTGTGTGGAGGGAGGAAAGCCTCCCCATTGTCCCTGTCTCTCCTGACAGCAAAGGATACATACTTCCTGGCTGTGACTGGGAGACCCACCAGTTGGAAGATGGCAGGGAACTGCAAGAACCTATGAGGGAGGGGCAAGGGACTGAGGCTTCCTGGCGCTTAAGTCAAATGCCCAGCTGATGGAGAGGGCAGAAGTCTGATCCCATTAGGATCTGGGGAAAAGAGAAAGTAGAATTGGAGACTGAGCCGGAGGCCTGTGGGGAGTGGCTTCAGACCCACTCTGGCAACCTCCCGAGACACAGGTTTTGTCATCGGGGAGACGGCCTGGCCAGTCCTCAGAGCCCTCAGTCACTCCCTGCTCCCCCTTGCTTCACTTGTGCCAGGCGAGTG